CAGGGTCTGACAACAAACTGTTTATTGTGCATTGGAGAAAAACCACGGTTTTGTGAGCTTACTTTCTTGAATTCATGTTTGTGAGGGAGTTGGTAATTTTTGTAGTGCCTGGAGAGCTGCCCTCATCTTACAGGTGAGAACTAAGAAACTGAGTAGTCCTTATGTTTTGGATAGTTGATTAGAGATGACTTCATGTATTTAAATGACATTGCCCTTATACATGCATGTTCGTGGGAAGACTCGGTGCCTCTAAATGACATTGCCCTTATACATGCATGTTCATGGGAAGACTCGATGCCTCCGGTTGAATTGGTGAGAGTTAGCTCTTTGAAAATGGGGCTCCCCGCTGCGTAGCTAGAGGCTGGATACCCAGCAAAACTTCATTTAGGTGATGGCTGCCAGTGAAGAGCCTGGTTGGACTTGCCTGGCCACATTAGGACCTCTTCAATGAGCAGGAGCGCAACCAGTTCTCCAAGACAGATTTCGACTGCTGTCTTATCGGCAGTCTTTTGTAGCTCTTACAGCAGTGAGGAGCTTTCTTTGCTACGTGGGTTTTTAATCTGCAGTGCAGAGTGATGTCTTGAGTCAGCACAGAAGATGGGATGGGAGAAATGAGGTGGCAGAGATAATATGATTGTACATTCTTTAGTTTGTACAGTGCATTTGATCAGAGTTATGATGTTTATCAGTTTAGACTCCAGAACTTCAAATTGTTGGTTTATTCATATAAAACTGGGGGAATTTAGTTCTTTAATAGGATTGAAATCTGTGCATGGCTCTGCACAGATTTCAGCCAGTGAAGTAAGCGTTAGCTAGCAGGGATGCTTTGCCGCTTTTGTACCTGACCCAGAAACTGTCCATGGTCGTTTCAGCAACAGTTTTTGTTGATATTCCTCTGAAAACAATGGAAATGTGAGATGTGAGGCCATTGCAGCCTCTGTAGGGAAGTGAACTGTGATGGTTGTAGACACCAGATTAAAGGTAGCACTAACCATCCCCAAGTGATCCCGGAGGATAGGCTTCTGGTGCAGTGTGAAGATGATGAATCGTTTTACCTTTTGCTACTGGAGAGCCGACTGAAAAATCCTCTGTGCTTGAGGCTTTAATTTGTATTTCCAGTCCCAGAGTGTAGACAATGAATTTATCAGCATGTGTTGTCTTCCTTGAACTTTCTTCTTGCCCTAGTTGTTATCAGGAGTGGGACTGTAGTTTATTTCCCACATCTGCTTTGTGCTTCCCCCATCCTCACCCATGTTATCTCTGGAGAGGGATGCTTTGCTGTACAAAACCCCTATTTGCAGGGCTAGAGGGATTGGTGTTGCACCCAGGCTTAGATTTCCAAAAGCTATGGAGGGCAGCTCTGGTCACCTGGGGGGTTCCCTGGGGTGCTGAGCAGGAAGGAGCGAGCAAGCCATGGCATGGACAAACTAAAATACAAAATAGCCCCAGTGCAAGCATAGAGCCAAGCTAGGGCTGAATTGGGGGCAATATGCACAGAAGATCTCATCTGTGTTCTCTGATACGATACCTTCCAGCAGGCAAAACGATGTAGTTTGTAGGGTTTGGTTTTGCTTTGGTTATCCAGTCGCACTGAAGTGCGATGGCTGGAGCAGCACTAGAAGCTGTAATGGTGATTGCTTGCAGATGTGTCGTGAACTGGGGGCACAATAAACAAGATGGTTTTCCAGGCACGACCGCCTGCCTAGGAGTATGGCACAGGCTGAATAATCGTGTGCTCTCAGGGCTGCTGCGGGGTGGGTATTTGCTGCTTTGTGCTGAATTAGGGCTGGAGGATTCTTTGCTTTTATATTTTCATGTGTGAATCACAAATCCCAAAGTATTCTTGTTTTCTGCTGAGATGACAAATGGCTGATCTATGTTTGGAAACTTGCATTTATGGAACTTAAATAGGTTTTAAAATCAAACCAGTCAATCAGTACAATTTTGTGAAGGTAATACTCTTAAGTTGGTTTTGTTTATGTTGGTAAATTAGTAGTTAAAATTAAATGAATGACAATTAAAGACATCATGTAAAATGCCATCTCTGTCATGTAGTCTTTTCCATCACTTTGATCATCATCATTCTGATTTTTATAGCTTCCAAGACGACTTGTTTTAGCCAGGATATTAATCCTGTAGAGAATTTAAATTCAGGTGGGGTGTGCGTGTGCATGTTGGCAGGGGTGAAGGGTGATCGGAAACCACGTTAAGGTGCTGTTGAGTTGAGAAGGAGCAGCTGGTGGGTGACATTAATGAACTTTTTAATGCTTTTTCCCTTTTTCCATCCTAGGTTGGTACAGAGGTTATACACTACGAAAAAAATCCAAGAAGGTAGGTGTTGCCAGAGTGGAGTGCTCATTTTTCTCTCGGACAGAGATGTATTATGGCACTGGGTGTGTTGTTATAACGGAGATCTTGGGCATGTATTACAGTACTGCATGGGAGCGATTCCCCATTGTCCAGTGATCTCTAATAACTGTTGGTGTGTAGTCTCAACCTCTGGTAAATGTGAATTTTTCAAGTTAATGGAAACTTATTTTAGCAAAGCTTAAAAGCTGAGTTGCATATCTATTTTCTTGCAATTTAAGGCTATATGTATGTACAGTCACTGTAGATGACTTGATGTGCATCAGCTTGTTTTCTGCAGTAACTGGTGTACCAGAGCCTTTGCCTCAGTAAAAAGTTCAGAACTTTATGTTCTAGTTGGTCTGTTTAGAGGCTGACACTTTGCTTCACTGTCTGTTAAATAATGTATTACTCGTAAAACGCAATTGCGTCTTGGAAAGTGATACGGAGATCTACAGTGTGATTTTCAGTCGTTCTCTGCAAGAGGGGGAGTAATCTTCTGCAGTGTAATTTTGCCTAGTTGTTAGGCTTTCAGCGTGCATAAAGGGCTGCTGTTTATAGCAGCCCTTCTGAGATAAAAAGAAAGGAAACAGCACAAATACTGGTTGTAACATTGTGTTTTATTTTTTGAGCGTTTTACTTTATAGTAGTAATTAACCAGAATTAAATGACTTCTGGTTTTGCTGCTTTTTTCACTTAAAGTAAAGCACTTGAAATGTAATGTTTGCCTACAGAGGTGCATTTTGACTTGCGTCTGCGTGCCTAAAAGTACAGAGTTGAGTTGTGTGGTTCATCCCACCCATTTCCTAACCAACCCTGTTCTATGGTTTTTCTATTCTATTTTGATATTTTCTTTTTTTGGAAAGAGACTAAATTTCTTACGAACCGTATTTCAGAAACAGGTCTTGTAAAGCATAAGAAGCAATTATGCATTCTTCTTGGCTTAAATTAATTCCACCTGTTGCTGCATTTGTCCGACTGCTGCTAAATGCAGTGTTGTGTTTTTTTTTTTTTTTTACAGTATGAAAAGACTTCCCCCACCCCACCCCACCAGTTTCTGTAGCTTTCTAAGAATTTCTTTTTTGCGTTCCCAGATGATAAGAAAACTGAACTACTACCTCAGAGGGTGAGGTGGAGGAACTTACTTTCTCAACTTGAATTATTTTTTAACGTGAGCTTACACTATTTTGAAAATATTACTGTATTTCTGGAATCTCAATTAATTTAGAACTTTTTTTCAGAAAGGCAGTACTAGTCTTTTGCAGTACTGTCTGTTGAAGAGATTTTTGGCTTGTAGCACTAACAATAGATCGGTGGTAGAAGGCACTGTATTACATATAGTCTGTGTACTATGGGTTGCGATGCAGGATGCCTGCGTTCTGCACGTGCAGGTGCCCGTTTTTTTCACGGCAAAGCAGCCCGGAATACTGCCCATTCTCATCTAGTGTTTATTTAACTACAAGACTGGAAACAATGAAGAAAACAGTTTGGGGACAGACGCAACATCTTATAGCAGGGTAAGAAAGCTTGGTTAGATGTGAGGAAGAGCAAGCAGCGGACCTGGATTATAGGCAAAATATCATTTTGGAGTAGATCTAGGTAAAATCGCCTGTCTTTCACACTTTCAAAAGGAAATCTGTCTTAACTTGCATCTGTATCTGATCACCCAGGGACCTGGAGAATCGTGGCAAACTGAACTGGGGGAGGAAACACCCCTTTGCAGGGCCACTTATGACGGGGTGTCTCTGCTGTTTTCTTCAATGTTGTGAAGATAGATTTAAAAATACTTAGTCTGTATTTCCTAAGGTTACAGTAACACCTTCTTGAAAGGACATGCAATACAAAATTTAAATGCACGTTAAAAAAACCCCAAAACACCACAACACAACTATTCTGATGTGAATGTGAATGACTCTGCAGACCTGGCAATGTGTCTTGGCATATTTTTAGGCAATAAGTACAATATGTTATGTGCAACTGGTTATTTAAAACACTTTTTTTCCTCTCCCACCCTCTCAAAGGGCATATTTCCTGCCTCGTATATACATCTTAAGGAAGCAATAGTTGAAGGCAAAGGGTAAGTTTGATTTGAAAATAATGAAAATCTATTTTCCTGTTTGTATCGATATAATCTTACTGTATTATCAGATAACTTATACTTGATTCCACTTAGTTAAGGAGCTGATGACAAAGATGTGTGTGTTTCTCTTGTAAAATATTTTAAATTGATAACTTACCTCAAGTTCGAAGGCGCTGTCATCAGCAGTGCTTGTGACTAGTGCTGTTCTTAGCTGCATCGTCGTATAGTTGAGCTAAAGCATAACTTTCTCTATATTAATGTAAATGTGTCAGAAGAATTAATAATTTACCATTTTTCTTTGTAACTTTTATTACCTTTCTTTATAACCTTTATTACCTAGATTAACTTCCTCCACTCCATGCCCCCTGCTTTAATTCTAATTTCATTTTTCCCAACTTCTTTTATGTTCCAGCCCTTGAGTCTTACGACTGCTGCCTGGTATGTTAGGAGAGGCCTTTGATATGAGATACCTTTCTTTTATGCAGATGAAATTTAAGTAATTTCTTAATTCCGTCTTCAGTAAATCTTGTAGACGGGACTCCTCCTCGAAAGCCTTTACCCAGGCATCGTTTTCTGCCTTACCAAGAGGTTTTGTTGACTTGTCCATTTTGTGATTCTCCTGCTCTGTTCCCTGATGCGTGTGGCACTAAATAGTTTGGGCTGGTTTTTGTTATTTAACACCTGTTAAAGTTCAGATCTTTATATATCAAATCAACTTTGCTGGACATGCAAAAGTTCCTAACATTGATACAAAAGTTTAATTAAAAAACCAGGCAAAAACACCAACCAAATCCCAGAAAAAAAAAATGGAGTGAAATTAATAATTAGCCAGGTATGAAATGGATTGAAACAGAATTAAAATATTTTATTCCTTTGTGCCCGATTTATTTTTATACACTGTTAAATATGTAAATGATAAAACTACTAATCATGAGATTGCTGCATAATGACATCTTTCTTGCTGATTACAAAACTGCCTTTAAGTACCCTACTTGTGAAATATTAAAAGATCTAGCTGTTGTTTCCTACTTTCATGGCACATAATTTTAAAGCAAGTCCTACAGAAACTTAACGGTAATGACTTGCATGCTTAATTTTTCTTTGCAAGACCAATATTTTGAAAAACAATTACGCATTAGTGTCATGGCGTTGTAGGTTGTGCATATCTGGCTTTTATCTTGGTTGCTTCTTGTAACATCGGTATCGCAATAACAAATGGTATGGTGAGGTATGTCTCGATATCCTTATCTTGTATAAAATTAAAGGGGGGACTGGAGCCTGAGCTCAGTAGCATAGTCTCAGCCCATCAAAGTACCGTTTACGTTGCGTGGCTGTACTGGTGTACACCACTTCTCCTGTATCTGATAATACTTTTTTTTTTAACTTACAAATTTATAATAAGTGATGTTATTTTCAGCCATATCATTATTGAATTGTCTTTGGAAATGAAGAGTTCCTTCTCAGGAATGATTCTGCCAACCTACCCAAAACTACTACTTAATTCAAACTTTTTTTCTTTTCCTCTTAAGACAACATGAAACAGTTATACCTAATGAGCTCCCCTTGATTCAGGAGGTTACCACAACGCTGCGGGAATGGTCTATAATATGGCGGCAATTATATGTTGTAAGTATCACCTTAGGAAAACACTGACAATAGTACATGGTTTATGAAAAGAGCGATGCTGTGAATGGGACAGTGAGAAGTATGAAGGAATTATCAATGAAATCCCACTCGTGCTACTGTTTCTAAAGGCTACTTTTAATAATGAAAAGCTATTTAGCATCTTCAGTGTTAAGGCACAAATCTCAGTAGTGTTTCTTTTGAGCGTTTTCTCAAATACTGTGTATTTCTTGTGCAGAATCAGTTTTTTAGAGTGTTACCTTGACCTGGCAATAATTTGTTAAGCAATTATGACCCATTTTTCATGGGCTACTATTATACAGAATACATTGGATTTTTAAGATATATACAGATTTGGAAAAATCTAATATATAATTGTATTAAAGAAATGAAGAAAATGGTTTTCAGGGCAGTTTTTAAGGCTGTCGGTCTATGTTATGAAAAAATTGAATATTTGATGTTGAATTTGTCAGTGTAAACTTAAACCTTTGAAATATCATCAGTATGGGCCTTTTACCTCTCAGTATTCTTGTACTTGAAGTTGATTGATTGTTTCCAGTTTATCCTGGCCTTAAGTTACATACCCGATTGTTTTCACATGCTTAAGTTCCAAGCACATAAGAATATATTCTTAGAAATTTATAGTAAGAAGCATTTGCATTGAGAGTCTCCCAGATGGGATAATAGAAAGATACAATAACCATGAAACTACACAGATGAAAGTGCTCTTAAGTAAGGTCTAAATAGTGTTCAAACGTACATTTAAAAGTGCAGTTCAGATGTAAAGCAACAGCATGCTGTAGGATGTAAGGTACCCTAGCTCAGACTCCTCATGCTCTCGTCGTGTAAGGTCACTCTAACAAGATAATGGGAACATGAAAGTCTTATATTTAAAGCAGGGTTTAAAACAGAGTCTCTGTTCCTTATAAATACATTTCAAATCTTCTATCGTAAAAGTGCAAGCTGTGTAATGAAGACACTAACTGGAAATGAAGATGTTTATGTTGACTAAGGTGGTTTTTAATCACACCCATGAAAATAAAGACTAAACATATAGTATGCTGGAAGTGATGTAGTGTTGCAGTAGATGACAAGAAGGATAATATCTTATATGAAGAGAAACAGATTATATATTAAAGAGAGAGCTTTAATGTGATGGTAATGCTAGAGAGGTCATGTGTTGGGGAGCAAGGAAGAAGTAGACAGGCAGCAGCAAACTGGGAGGAGCAGCATCTGGAGAGAGCACTGAGAACAGCTTTGCCCTTGGTTCCACTGCTATGCTGAGGACAGTGAGGATTACGTTTTGACCCTGATGTCTTTTTGGGGGGATTATCCTGAGTCTGAAATCTCGTATTGCTTAATGTCAGAGAAATACCACTTGCAGAAGTGCACAAGACTTGGTTGCGGGGCACAGACAGTAAGAAAGGAAGAATAGCAAAGAGACATTGTTAGAAGTTTTCTTACCAGGACTTGTGTGTGCTTTTAGTAGCAGTAACTTTTAGGAAATGATAAAATTCTTGTGTGGGAATCACTACTTCTAACTTAATATTTAGCGTCTCATTTATCATGCCTTTACTTCCATGAAGACATATGAACAGCTGAACAATAATGCAGTGCTTTGCTAATAACTTTGAATTCAAGAGCAGGCAAGGCGTGATGCTACCAGTGGCCGCAATTCAGTAGCAGAAAGGGTTCCAGTCCCTGTTACAGCTTTACTCTGAGTAGGTGGATCACTTAAGGAGTTTGTTTATAGTTTGTTTCTCAGGGATATCTGTTGGATTAATTGCATGTGGTCAAATGCCAAAAAGAGCATTGGTGCACATTGGTGCATCTCAAGGGAGATTTGGTTTACTGGAGGTAACTGGTAATCTGGTCAATCTGCAGACTAGACAGAAACTCCACGTTTTCCACATCTTGCATATCAGAAATCATTAAATGACCACATTTATGCCTTTATTCCATTCATAATTTGTGTTTGAATATTGAATAGGTATTCAGTTTTGATTTGCAGATAGCAGAGGATGTGGCACATTCTTCATCTCACTAGTTTATGATTGCCTGCAGCATCGAAAATCATGAACCTCTTTCCCATTTGAATTTGTCTGTATTTAGCTTCCAGCCATATGTGCCTGTTGTGTCTTTCTCTGCTACATTAAAGAGCTTTTAATAACGGGTATTTTCTCTCTGTGATGTTTCTCACACTATAATCAAGTCAGCTTTTTGATAATCTGAACAGACTGAAGTCTTTAAGTTTCACAGTTAGATATTTTTTTCTCCCTGAGTGTTTGAGTCATTGTATTCTTTTCCTTCACCTTCTGCAGTTTTTAGTTGTCCTTTATATATAGTGGAGAACTTTATTTTAATTATTTAATTATTCCAGTTGTTCTCGGTCAATTAAGGCCTAGGTGTAGTCTGAATGAAAGATAGCTATGCATAGCCTGCATAATTCATTGATGTAGGGTGTTTAGGAAGATGTGTTCTTTTTAAGAGTGTATTGAACTAATGGCTTAGATTTTGAGAGTTATGAAAACAGCGAGAGAGACTTCTTTGGGTAAGATCAAAGCATTTGGGACCTCTGTGTTGTCTTTGTCTCGATGTTATCTTTCACAATAAAAATAGACTGCTGTTCTGCAGCTTCAGTTTTGCATAGTATTGTTTGCGCTAAAATTGTTGTGTATATGCACTGTCCACAGTTTAAACCAAGATGTCAAATTCTGTTTGGTGGTTAAAGATTTACCTTTTGCTATTGAATGCATGTGTATATGGGCATGCATATAGCAAATGCCCTGGAAAAGAGGTTTCTTCCATTGTAAGTCTGGAACTTTATCTTCCTCTGTCCTATCTTAGCTGAATGTTGCCAAAGAAAGTTTGTGTGTTCTGCTGGTACTATTTAATATCCATAGTTCCAGCCGTTAGAGACAATTAAGGTATTTAACTTCCTATAAGATTTAGAGCTTTCCTGGTGTTTCACTTGCCTTCAGACGTTACCTGTGGACTTGTAAGATACTGATGCACTCAGCTTTGCACACTGAGGAATTTTAAAATGTTATTCTGAAGGTTTAAGAAGGGGCGGGGGAAGGATTCTGTAATGTGTTGCAGATGGAATATTGCAGAAGTTGAGCCTCTTGCTGTTAAAATGTGCCTTTTTTAGTCCTACTCTACTCAGTGTAGAGGGTCATTGAATAAAGTTACTCTGAGAACCAAGAAAAGGATGCCTTTCCCTTGAATGCCTGTTCTGAATACAGTATTACCTGGGTTTTAAGGTAACATAAACAGAAGCATTTACAGTTATTTAGATACCTAAAGCAGAGTGTGAGACTCTGTATTCAGTGTTCTGTGCTATAGAAAATTAGACTCCTGTCTTAGAGCTGTTTGTATACTCTTACCCTTTTGAATTCGTATTTTATAATTGCACTTTATTATATGTATTTAAAAGATGCTCAGGAGACTTCAAAACTAACTTCTACCCATCTTTCTCCTCCCAACAGCAAGATAACAGAGAAATGTTTCGCAGTGTACGGCACATGATATATGATCTTATTGAGTGGAGATCTCAAATACTGTCTGGGACCCTACCCCAAGATGAGCTCAAAGAACTGAAAAAGAAAGTGACTGCCAAAATTGATTATGGCAACAGGTTTGTGAACAATATTTTCCAAGTGTTTATGCTTAAAACCAAATCAGCTTGTGTAATACACGTTAGCTGTCAATGACTTCTTGCAAGATTCTTTTTCTCCTGTATTTATGGAGATGTAATAGTAGTATATTAACAGTTCTGTTATAGCAAGTTAAAGAATGAAGTTGATAATAGCATCTGTAAAGTATAGTACAAATTATAATATGTAAAGTGGAATCCATATACAATTCTCTCGCTTGTTGATATTGGCAATTTGATACTGGTATGAAGTTGTAATTTTTAAGGTCAGTTGAAAAGCGCAAGTATTGGCTCTACTCAAAATATAATTTAAACTCTACTTGCTTCTGCAGCATAAACAGTTGCCACGTTCTCAACGCTACCAACTGCACGTTCCCTGAAGTCACTTAGCTGTAATGTGATGTTGAAGGATTTGGCTCGGAAGCATCATTTAGCTCATTGTTCCTCTACTTATATAGTATCCAGCTTGTACCAGAAGATTAACAGACAGATTTAATAAAAGAAAGTATCTATTTAACAGAAGAGAATTGAAATTGGGAAGGAAATATTTACAAAAAAAAAAAAAGACAGCAGTACAGGTTGCATATGTTAGGTATGTTAGTAATTCAGACGTATTAACTCTCCAAACAGTGGTCTGGATTTAAGCAAAATTTTTTTAAATACAAGTTTTAGGTTACAAGTTGTCTGTACAGTTATGACTTTCCATTTTGATTAAAAATGTGAAATCATATCTTACTCTTCAATCGGGAAATTATTTGAAGCAGTGTTTTGAATACTGAGAGACAGCATTGTGATACTGCACACCTAGGAACTGAGGAAGTTTTCAGCAAACCAGTCTTTAAATCCCTTGTGATGTAAATAACTCATCAGATTTCACCTATTTGTGTTTTATTCCATAAGAACTACCAAATTTGCAGTATTTCTGTTCATGCACTTTATCAGCAAAAGCTGTGATAAAAAAAAAAAAAAATTTTAAAAAATCATCAGTAACTGCATTCACTCAGTAACTGTCATTTATAATCCAAGATATGGACTGTTGTACCTTAGTAGACAATTAACCAGATGTTGTTGGTATTTTTTGTTTGGCTACTGTATTTTACCATCTGTCTAAGGAATTGGTTAAAGTTACTCTCAATAACCTCCAGATGCTCAACATTCAAATACGATGGAACATCTTGTGCTGTGCTTTATATTCATAATGTTCTGATGGACTAATTAAGTGATCAGGACATTCTCTGCGGAGTACAGGAGGGAAGTGAATTTGAACTTCTGAGTAAATACTCACAACTGAAAGATACCGTATGTTTCTAATGTAGTCATACACTCACTTTTGTCTAAAATAAGCATGAATGATGATTTCAATATCCAGACAGAATGAATTAATTATGCATTTTATAAATGTTTTCTGATCTAATCATATCCTAACTTCTCCGATTTTGTGAAATACTGATTTGTAAATAAATTTTTTTCTATAAATAAAGACAACAGCTTCACTGCATGTTGTCAAAATAACTGAGGAAGTAAAAATGGTCTTACGAATTTGTATTTTTAATGTTTTCCTGAAATTGGGTCAGATAATTCTGCTGTGAAAAGAACGTTTTCTGTTCAGTTGAAAAAAATCTTTAACTGGGATACTTAGGAAAAAATTTCAGATATTTTCTAAGCATCATTTGCAAGTTAAAGGATAAAACAAAGAAATTAAATTGAAGGAGTGTTTACTTCTATTTATTTGACAGTCTGTGCAAATGTTCTTGTCCTGTTGATGTGTAGTAGCCTGGGCGATTAGTCTTTTTCTGAATTTCCTCTGGTCCAGGTAGGTGTCTCCTACGGAAGGACTCTGCTTGTGTTCACCCAGGGCTGACAGTCACGAACCAAGTGGTCAGTGGGTGCATCTCCTGCTGTGGCTGCTGTCCAGGAAACAGTAGTAGGGTTTAATGATGGTTTTGGTTTTAATGATGAAACCATTTTCTCACTAGAAAATTCATCTGGGAGCTTGGTGGTCCAGAGGTGCTTAGAAGAGTTTTATGACAGAGAAGTCCGGTTACAGAGAGGAGCTTAGGAGGTGTTTCTTAATAAGCTGCTGCCTGCACTCTGCAACTTGAGTGATGTTCATCTACCTTTGAATTAATGCAGTGCAATTAATCGGAGAGGTTTGTGTATTGACTCTGCTGAAGGCTTTGTTTAAGACGTCCAGATTTCCCTCTTGTCAGGGAGGGGCGAGGAGTGATCCTCTGAGTACATGAAAGATACCTTTGTCTGCCACAGCTCCTGTTCTTCTTTGCAAGTGATCGTGGGTTATGTCCAAAGGGGACTTCCTCTCAGATAAACCACGAACCTCTGGGTGGCTTATCAGACACTGCAAGTTACATTTAAGCTCATTGATCAAACATATTTCAAAACCAAAGTTACAGCAGCTCCATTGTGAGAGATGACTACAGACTTTAGAAGAAGAAAATAGGGACTGTGTGTATTGGAATGGAGGTGAGGAGGTCAGTCGTAGGGAAGATAGGTAGAGAAATGCAGATCAACCTAGACCTGATTTTTTTTTTTTTTTTTTTTTTAAAAAATCCTTGGTTCTGCTGCCAGTACTGTACTAATACAAAAAAAAATGTGAAAGGCCTTTCCTAAGACTGGGTTTGATTACAGCAGAAGCATTCCTCTCTACGGAAGGTAATCGTGGACGTTAACATCCTGCTGACAGAAATCTGGCTTCTGCTTTAAATAAAGGGAAACAACTTATGCCTTCTTGTATCTTGTAGGTTTTTGCTAAAGCATGAATATGCCTGCTTTGGAGGAGAATGTGGAGTGGGACAAAATGAAATGACCAGTTTGCATGTGGTGTGACTGTAGTGGTTGTTTGTTCAAACTGTCAAATGAATCAGATAGTCTCTTGCAAATTTAGTTGTTTGAGAAATTACTTCCCCAGCTGTTCTGCTATTTCATTTACATCGGTTCTTTCTGCACCGTGCGAAGAAGTGACTTCCAGCCAGGGATGGTTATCTCTGGGATTGCTGACGTGTTAAATTGTTTTATCATGTATCAGATAGGTTTTTTTTTTTCTATGATATGTCAAGTGTGCATGATGTTAATGTTAAACACTTGGACAGTGTTTTTAAAGCATTTACTTGAGCGCTGTTAATTCACAAGTGTATTTTTTTGTTTGTTTAGAATTCTTGATTTGGATCTGGTTGTTAGAGATGAAGATGGCAATATTTTGGACCCAGAGCAGACCAGCACGATTAGCCTTTTCAGAGCACACGAAATAGCTTCCAAGCAAGTTGAAGAGAGGCTACAGGAGGAAAAAGTGAGATATACTATGCACTGTAGCTTTTCCCTTTGAAACATGAGACTGTAAACTAATTAGGTGACTGTTGTTTTTAGCATTCGTAATGAAGAATTTGATACATTTATGAAGAGTTATCAGGCTTAAACATTTTATAAGAACTTGTATGTCTTTGGCTGTTTAATTGTCTTTTTCATCCTTTAAAGGGCTTAGTAGAATTTATGGTTAAGACCTGTATCAGTAAGTCGACTATATTTGTAGGTTGATATTGGAGGTGCGTATGTAGCAGGTTTGTATGTTAGGATGTCGTGAGAGTTTATTTTTGAGAGTCAAGTAGAATAACGCCCTCATTATGTTTGTACGATTTCTGTAGGCCAATCCTGAAAATTTGTTTGTTGAAATACAAGGGGCAAATTTAAAGACATTATTGGACTTGAATAGTCAGCTTCTTTGCAATTCAAATCATTATTTTTAAAAGGAAGAAGATTTCTGTTGTAAGGAGTCCTTGCCAAACTTGATGTAAAAATACACCAGTTTAAATGAGATTTAAACTATTACATTTTTGCATCTGAAGTTGTTTCTTTGTCCCTGCCTCAGCCAGTTTCCTTTTTGTCCCACGTGCCTTTCTTCCTTCTGCGTAGATAAAGTAGTTTGTGGAAAGTTTATGGGAGCTAAAGTCCGAGGGGCGGGTAACCTGTTGAAATGGCACTGTCTTCTCTCCTGTCTTTCTTGGCACTCTGTACCTGTCAGAAAATCATCAGACAAAGCAAAGAACAAAATTCCTTTTCTCATCAGGTATATTTGAGGATCTATTTTTATCTCTATTTGTTTAGCTCTCTCTTTTTAATAAGTGAAGACACCTTTCTTCTTCACATACCCCTCCCCCTTTTCTTTTTTTTTTTAATTTCTCCTTACAGTATGGCACTTCAAGACAGATCGAGAAAATGCAGTCTGCCGTAAATCCTAATATAAACAAAGATCACAGGAGTAAACACTGAACAGAAAACCCCTCTTCTGTCTGAAAGGCTTTAGGAAAGTTTTATAGCGATTGGATATTCGTTAGGCTAAATTAAGTTTCTTCTGTTCTTGAATTACAGTCTCAGAAACAGAATATCGATATCAACAGACAAGCTAAGTTTGCTGCCACTCCTTCATTTGCTTTATTTGTAAATTTAAAAAATGTAGTCTGTAAAATAGGAGAAGATGCTGAAGTCCTGATGTCTCTGTATGATCCACTGGAATCAAAATTTATCAGGTTAGTGTACTCTTGAGCGTACTCCCTAATTTGTGCTTACTCAGTTATAGCAGCGAGGTAGTTTTGCAGGATGAGAGGGTTTATGAAAGTCAAATTTCTGTGAAAGATGTAGGACAGAGTCATCTGGGAAGCAGCAGCGCAGCAACACTTCATCGTCATGTTCAGCACAGCATCAAGCAAGCCCCTTCACCTCGGGTACATTTCAGGGTTGCAGTGTTCCTCGTCACACTGTGCCTGTGGTTCACCAAGTGCAGAGCTGAAGTGAGACCTGAACACACCTGGAAGGCTGTGTGCCCTCCCTTGGCAGCAGCTTTGGCACTAATCTGAGAGTTTGATTTCTGCATACCCTGCTTTCTTAAAGAAATTCTTTCGCTTTGTTGCTGAAGAGTTGCTTTCTTTTTATAAATGATGTACACAAAGGGAAATGCCAGCTCTCTGCTAAGTAAATACTCATTTGTTTAGGATAGGTAGATAGGGTTTAAAATAGTATTCTGTAAATCCTGAAGTTGATTTTATCTGCTTATGTTAAAGGATGCCATTTAAACAAAAGAATCCTCAAAATATTGTTCTTTCAGTGAAAACTACTTAGTGCGATGGTCAAGCTGTGGACTCCCTAAAGATATAGACAGATTGCATAACCTTCGAGCAGTGTTCACGGTAAGTGTGTGCGCTTGGTTCAGCTGGCAAATTTTGAAGCACTTGTTTCATAGCTTGTGAGTAACTGAGGAATGTAGTGATGTGTATGTAAACAGTGTGGAGTTACCTCTGCAGATAATGATCCTGGGGAAGGCTCACCTGAGACATTTTTCGTAAGTGACTACTAAGTATTCTCAACAGCTGACTAAAACCAAAGTTGCTCTTTGAAGTTTTAACTTACTAGAAATGATTTGGCCTCGTAAGCAACTAATTTACACAGAAGTCAAGATAAGACATTTAAGCACTGTTACAAAAAATCCTTTACTCTGAAAACAGTTTGCCTTGGTGCTGGAGGCTAGCACGGCAAAGGCAAATTCTGAGCAGCAAACCTTCTGCCTACAAAAACGGAACTTGAAATTCAATTATTATAATCTGAAGAAACTACTATTTCTAGGACCTGGGCAGCAAAGACCTGAAAAGAGAGAAAATCAGTTTCGTCTGTCAGATTGTGCGAGTGGGCAGGATGGAGCTGAGGGACAACAACACGAGAAAACTAACTTCTGGGCTGCGACGACCTTTTGGAGTAGCAGGTAACACTCTGTGTGCTGTATCTATCCATATCACATTAGGTTCTTGCATAGAAAGTCGAGTGTGTGAAACTCCTGAGGGGTTGTATAAACTCAAAATTGTTCCAAATTTGATCAGACGGATTGCTGTATTGTAGAATTTACTGTAGCTTCCAGGACTTGTGTTAGCTAGAGATGCCAAAGGTTGTTTGCAATATGATGTTATTCTATAGGAAAATTCTGAAACTGCGCCGTTGATAAGTCCCTCCCCCTTCTGAGTCACCGTTGCTTCCAGCCCCTCAAAACCCCTGTTCCCATGTTGATCACTTAATTTTTGTTTTCAGTAATGGACGTTACTGACATAATTAACGGAAAAGTTGACGATGAGGACAAACAGCACTTCATACCATTTCAACCGTAAGTAGGGAATAGTTTAAAGAATAAGTGGAAATGAAATAATGAAGATTTTAGCTGTCATTTAAAAATAAAAAACAAAAAAAAAACCCAAAACATTTTAAACTTTTGATTGGAAGAAATGTTCTGTAGGAAGCTAGTTTATTTCAGTGTGGTATTTTATCTTGAGTAGTACTTACTAATATTTCTTCTTGATAATTTACTGTTAGAATAGTGGTAGCCCTGCAAACTTTTATTTTTTGTAAGTCCTGAGTTTAAAGCATGCATTCCCAGTTTTGCAGTCTTGTTTTCTTTTTGTTTAAAGATGTCAAGGAGATAATATGTAAGAGGTGAAATGCTTACAATAAGTATATTGGTGCTTTAGCTCTGCCTGAGATTGATAAAGACCAGCAGCGTTATCAACATCCACTGCAGGTGACTTCTGTGAAATTAGTAATGATGACATTTATCTTTTTCTTGGTAGCAGATGTAATTTCATAGTAGGGGCCACAGTAATTGGAGTATAAACAAGAGCTGAGAATTTGAAAGATGGCTTGATATACCTCCTGCAGTATCTTTTCATAATTCAACTTTATCGTGTGAGACTTTTACCAGAAACCTTAGGTATTTTGGTTGGATGGTAAGGGAGAGGATGTGTCTGCTGCACGCACCTGTTATAGCTGGTTCACAGAATCAAGGAGACATTTCTGCTACAGGGACCTGATCTTACTTCTAGTCGTCTAAAGCTGCAAACCTTTCCACAGTGACTCTAAGGTTGCTGACGTGGAGTTTGACGGATGGTATTTTACAATAATTAAATTGGATAATAGCAAATACGGAGTTGGCGTCCTTTAAAGTACAGGCATGTATGAATTTAATGTAATATTGAAGATCAGTTTTAACTTCATGCCACAAAATCATATTAAGAAATATGGGTTTAATAGCCTGAATTGTTGTGAATATATAGATGTGTGCAGAGAAAGTGCTTTTAGAAGTGAAAGCTTATTAACAAAAGAGAATGTGGCAAATACTCTGTTCCATCCATAGTTTATAGGTTTTGTTTTTATTTTATTCCATGAAGTGGGGAAAGGTAGAAGGGATAAGTCAAATAGATGTGCATAAAATATGAATGCTTAGTTTTCCCATTGTGTGAAATGTTAAGCTACCATCCGTTCAAAAAGGCAAAACATAGTTATGTTAGCTTGATTAATATACTAATGGATATTCAGAGTGTTTTTAATAATATTAGAAAAAAAGCTTGAAATAATGTAATCTCAAATTATTTTGGAAAATAGGCTTGATTCAGGAAGCCCTTGTGGTTTGAAGATGTAGGGCCATCGAGAGGACTGCAAGGTCTGCAGGTGCTACAGGGAGCCGAGCGGGCATGTGCCTCGTGTCTGAAATGCTTTCGTTTGTATGCAGCAGTGTCGCTGGAGTGGCGTAGAGGGTGTTAATGTGAAAAACCAGAAATACAGTTCCATTTTTCAAGGAAAAGAGGGGGTTTTTAGGGAGGGGTGTGTTCATGATCTGTTTATTGTGTGGTAAACAATAGCAATTTGTTTTTTAGTGAGTATGGAAGTATGCCATGAAAATGAATCTTTGTGTATCAAAGTGGATGCTAATGGAACATCTAGTTTTCTGCTCCATTAACACTGATTTATTTTTTCTGTATATATAAATCAGCTTTTTGAAAAGACGTACAATGTGATTTTTTTTTATACTAAATTTAAATATTATTCTGAAAAAGTATATTCCAAAGAATATGAATAATGTGAAAACATGCAATGAATACTGGTGTCATTATTTCCAACGTAGACTTAGGCTGTATATATAAGCCACGTTTTTTTTCTTCTCATTCCATGCTTTGCTTCTGTTGTACCACATGCAATTCTGTTTTCATATCTTTGTTTGTTTGTATTCATTCACTAGCCACCAACACAATGGCTGTCAAAAGCACTTGGCAAGATTACTTAAATGACACTTAATGCTACCGTTTATTTATAGTTTCCATCTTTTCATTTATTCATCAAGTTTAACAGAACGTTTGGATTATCTGCTTTTCTTCTCCTATGCCGTTTCTGTGAGATTTACGGTAGCTTTTCCTTCAGACGGTATGCACTGCTGCTTAACCTATAGAATGACAGAAGTGACCCTGGAGGTGTCGCAGGGCCAGTCTGCTCTATATATATTAAAGAGAAAACTGCCTGTCTAGGTTTTCACTGCTTAACAGAGGATTCTCAGGTGGGAGACACCCTTCCTGTCCTCACCAAGTGTTCCTGGGGCCTGTGCATGCGTGTCCCTGAAGGGAGAAGTAACGACGCAGGTGTGCTGTACTTCTCTGTGGTAGATCAGCATTCTTCTGATTAATGATCTTCCTCTGTCTTTCTTGTTACCTTTCCTGTCCCTTGTCTTGCGTTGACTAATAAATACTCTTTGTCACAACTATGATACGATCTTTTGTGTTCCCTTGTTACTGTGACTTCTGGTTTTCTGTGACCCTTTGTTTCCTGGTGTTGGTCGTCATGTGCATCCTCCAGGCTAGCGTTGGATGACGCCATTCGACACAAGCAGCTGAACATATCATCCCGTTTTTCACCCAGGGTGGCAGGGGAGAATGATTTCCTTCAGACTGTTATAAACAAAGTGATTGCTGCTAAAGAAGTTAACCACAAGGGTCAGGGTATGTACTGTTCTTTATATACACCGGCGTACCTAAAACTGCTCATCGCTTGATTTGCAACATGTGACGATTTTAATTTTGGAATCAAGGGTGCATAATATTACCTTCACTTGTTCATTGCAGTTTGGTAACGGAAAATGTGTTTGCATAGTTTGTTCCCCCTCTTCCCCATACTTCAGTGCTCATTCTGCTATGCCCATGCCCTGCACCTTCCCCCCCTGCCCCATGGTAGCTCCGCAGGTTGTCTGTCCTTTCTCTGCATTGTCCATCGCTTGGACATCTTTATATTTCTGTACTGGAAACGATGACTCAGAGAGTCGGCTCTTGTGCCCTTGAGCTGTGGACTTTGGCCTCCTAATGTTGAAGGAAGGGATATTCTCTTCCTTCCCTTCCTTCGCCTTGTTTTTCCGCTTTACAGCTGCACTGGCAGCGTTTGGCTCCCTCTCAAGAAGACCAGGGCATTGCTCCCACCGGCACTGCGCCCGCCTGAGCTCGGAGGTGGTAAGGATGGAGCCAGAGCAAGGCAACCCCGCTGATATCTTCCTTTAGGGACTGCTCCTTTGTAATTCAGTCTACACTCTGCTGATGTGAAACTGAGTTAGCTCCTGAAGTCTGGGTTTTGTGGTTGGTTTTTTTTTGTTTGTTTGTTTGGTTTGGTTTTTTGGGGTGTGTGTATACACCACTTCATGATCATGATGTGCCTGCCAGTTAAACAGTGAATTGTGCGATGGCTCAGTTATTGCTGTGCTGGGTTCAATATTTTCTGGGGGGTCTGGATTAATACAGTGTTATGCAGGCCAATATGGAGTTTCCACCAAACACTCTGTGTGAATATCTGTATACTACTAATTGTAGTATATACAATTATATACTTTTTTGCTGATTTCTACTAGTTAATAGCAAATAAAAATCTAAATGAACTTTTAAAAAGTTATCCATTAGCTAAAGAGGAAAACTTAGATCTGCTTTTCCCTCCTGTTTTCACCTGTAGCCAATGTGTATCGGAAAGGAGAAAACATTTCAGCTGCTTTGATTCATTTCAGATTCTTTCC